CTCTCTGAAAACAAAAAAAAAATATTAAAAAAAAAAAAAAAAAAGATATTCAGCAGAGATGCAGTGTCAAAATGAATAGAAGAAAAGTTGGACACAAAACTGTATCTACACTATCACACGTACCAGCTCTGTGTTTTTATTTTATTTTATTTATTTCTTTCTTATATCTCTATTGACTTCAGAGAGAGGAAGGGAGAGGGAGAGAGAGAGATAGAAACATTGTTGATGAGAGAGAGTCATTGATCAGCTGCCTCCTGCACCGCCCCCAACCGGGGATCAAACCCCCAACCCGGGCATGTGCCCTGACCAGGAATTGAACCGCGATCTCCTGGATCCTAGGCCGATGCTCAACCGCTGAGCCACACCCGGCCGAGTGTGATTTTTAGATAATGGTGTCTGTTATACCTGAAATACCTGCACAGAAAGAAAACTGGAAGGAAACGATCAAAATGGTAGTACTGGCTCACTCAGGACTGTGAAGTGTGGGCCAGTGACTTTTGTTTTCTTCTTTATACTTTTTCCCCCCAAGTTTTCTACAGTGAGTACTTTCAAAAGAAAAAAACACATTAAAAGAAAGTCAACTGAGAGTAGAGTGAGGTCTTATGCCCTAGTAGCGTACTGTCCAGGAAACAGCGGGACCCCTCACTATCTTGGCTTCTCTGTGGCCTTAGCCTCCTGTGATGGGGCCACCCTCAGTAGCTCCAGGTGGCACTGGCTGTAACACCTGCCTTTCTTTTCCCACCAGGGACCGTACCACCACCGTGGTGAACGTGGAAGGGGACGCCCTGGGCGCGGGCATTCTCCACCACCTGAATCAGAGGGCGATGAAGAAAGGGGAGCAGGAACTGAGCGAGGTGAAAGTGGAAGCCGTCCCCAACTGCAAGTCAGTGGAGGAGACGTCACCTTTGGTGACGCACCAGAACCCCGCTGGCGGCCCCGCTGCCGGTGCCACAGAACTGGAATCCAAGGAGTCGGTTCTGTGATGGGGCTGGGCTTCCAGCTTGCCTGCCAGCGGTAGTACCTGACCTGTCAGTCCAGCCACCGGACACCGGGCACTGCCCTCACTGACTTTAGCCTCCAGGCAATGAGTTGGCCCAATCACCGGTTTGAGGGTCACTTCTCAGCACAGGTGTTGGGCTTCCCTGCCAGAACTGGTTCCTGACGACTAGGACACTCTGACTTCAGCTTGATCCCTGTCTAGATGCAACTGTGTGAGCACCAGCTTCTGTTTGAAACATGCCCTCGAGCTGCCAGGCTCAGGGAAATAACAGGCTTGCAGGGACCTGATGGTCAAAGCTTGGGGAAATGCGGATGTGCCCTTTATTGCACCTAGTCCCTCTGCATTGGGTACTTTCTGGGCAAACCGAGGGGGGCTTGCAATCATCTGTCATATTGCCTTGCGAGCCACAGTGATTGGAAATATTCCCAAATTCTTAGCCTTGGCTGGAATTCGCTGAGCTGGGACTTTGGGTGTTAGAGTCTGTGCTACAACTGGGTGCAGCTGGCTTCTGGTTCAAGGGTTGCTGGGGGGCTGGTGGTGCTGCACATTGTCAAGTTAGGAATACTCCAGATGGTGTTAGCACTGCTATGTTCTCTGGTCAGTGGCACTGAGTAAACAGTATAAATTCTGAGGTCAAAGAAAGGTGGGGGAATGCAGCCTACAGAGGGAAGGGAAGCAACCTAACTAGGATAGGGGACACAAACACACACACGCACGCGCACACACAAATGTCCCCATTCTCCTCCCAGCCTTGGGGTAGTTTTCAGCTTCTATCACCTGGGCCTCACAACACTATCCCCATCCACTCTGATGTGGCAATGGGACAGAGAGATGTCTCTTCTTCTAGGGAGGTGTGATGTGGTCATCACATTCAGGACCCTGATTGGTTTATCAATCTATTATTTCAGTTCAACTAGACCATCCCTAAAATAATGCATTCTTGCAAAAAAAATAAATAAATAAAGTTAAAATTAAACAATACAAACCTATTCACTAACTGGGGTAGACTACCCCCATTCCCAGGTCCCCAGACCCCCTGGCTTTGGCTGATTTCCATAGACTTGATTTCCTTTCCTGCCAGTACATCAGAGTTTAAAGTATAAGCCAGATTCCATGTTCCTCCAGATACCTACTGACTTGGTTTGAATCCAGGTGAAGGGCCTTTATAGAGAAGATCAGTATGGCCAGTGACAGGGAAGACCTAAAAGGTACAAGACTGCTATGGTACTGTGGCTGTTAGTGTGGATCCATGGTGTGACCTGCAGTGAGTGCTGGGCCTCGCTTTACTCCATTTGTAAAATGGGGCTGATGTCACCTGCCTCTTACCTACCTCTATGGGATTTGGTGAGGTAAACTGAGTGAATCTGTGAAAACGACCATTTCACTTCTTGGATATCAAGTGCTAACACCCCTACTCATGTTTTTTTCACCTAAGTGATACCTCTTTCCACGGAGACCTCTGTCTCGGGTGAAGATAACTTTTCCAAGCAGGGCTTTGTTCTCTGTGTGCATAGCCCCGTTTATCACGCCGCTCATTCTCTTTGTAGTTCCTTGATGGCATCAAAGGCAGCCTCTTCCCAATGTCCTCCAAGTGTTCCTGAATTAACCACCTCACCTTTCATTGCATTTCCTGGTACCCAACTTCCCCGTGACTCCCAGACCCAGGCACTGTTTCTACCACACCTCAACAGACCATCAAAGCTCCCAAACTTTCACCCTCATTCATTCCTTTGTTTTCCCTGTTGCTATGGTTTTGCTGTCACCCAGGCCCTGCAGAAGGGGAACACACCATTATGATGTGCGTCCCACTGCAATGAGTATGGGTGGATAGGACAGAGACGGTCAAGCTCCTCCGTTATAAAATCAGAGGGCCTTGCCTGAACAGAAGGGGTGGGGTGGGCAGGAGCCATAGGGCACAGAGCTGACCCAGCTCCCTCCAAATCTTTAAACCACTTGCCTCTCGTGCAAAGTCTGGAGTGACCAAACCAGGAACTGAGCTGAGAGGTATCTGGAAACCTTTACCCACTGGCAAGAGTTTGCTGATATCCTTCTGTTTTCAAAGGGGGAGACAATCACATTGATTCCAAACTACAAATGAACATTCACTGTTTTTCAGGCTATTTCATCTTTCCCTCTTCCACATATATATGGCTATATGTGCATATACATATGTGCGCACGTGTGTGTGTGTGTTCTTTGAGCTCCAATCCAAGCAAGTTTGAGTTTGGATAGAGGTGAATTAACTGCAGGTTGCATGGCTTTGGCATCCTGATTTTCCTGTTTCTAATGGTGAATTTCACAAAACACGGGAATTGGAGCTGGACAGTAAGACCCAGTGACTGCACATCGTTCATGCTGGACCTGGAAATGCAGTACAGACAGTGCCAGGGCCTGAAGGGGGTTCTTCCCTATGGTGATAATTCACCTTCCCCTGGGAGGGAGAAGGTACTGTTTTTCTCCCTGTTTCTCAGTCCACAAGAGGAACCAGACCAGGAGGGACCCAGCTGGGGAAATCCTACTTTCTCATAGTCTGAAGATGTTTCCCCACCGTTCTCTTGTAACACGTTGTAAATACTGTTCAAGTGCTGTACATCTGTGACTGTTTTGTATGCCTGACATTTGCCTTAAACATAGCAGTCTTCAAAAAATGAATACAGTGTTTCTACTAGGATCTACATGTTCCTTTATTCCTTGTGTTTTGAAGTGGCACATGCTGATGGAGCTCTTACTAGAAAATGGCCCGTGGGTGACTGAATTGATTCCCCCCCCCCCCC